AAGATTTTATTTTGCTTAAAGTGTCATTGTGATCGCTAAATTCACACCACTTTCTCCTAATTACAGCTCAAACCACCGATCGCACTTCGGAGTTTCAAGCCCTCTGTGATAGATACAGAACAGTGATGAACGACTGTGAAGAAAGACTTCCCGGGCTAGTGACTGCTGATGAGCAGGCTTTGCTGAAGTCAGCCGATAATAATCAGGTGTGTTTGGAAGAGGAAGGTGAAACGAACTTTGCCGATGCTTGTGAGATCTTGGAGAGCGTTTGCATCCGAGTTGTCTCGTGTTCCGCTTCAGGTAAGGAACATCGTCGAATTTTTTGTTGTTGGTTTGGGGGGGGGGGGGTGGTATATTTTATGTTGGAATTCGGTTCATCTAGGAGCCATTATTGTTGCAGGGGCAAAATGTCGTATTAAAACCTTTTGCTCAGATGTCACTTTATCAAACGATCTGCCGGATTGATATTATGATGAGTTGTTAATAGATTACGGTATATTCAAGGAAATAATTGATGTGTTTTCTCATCCCATACAGCTCGTTTTAGACGTTCTTCCTCCGTCTCTGCTTCTGCTGAATCCTCTGTTGAGTCTAGTGAAACAGACTAAGAAGGCCATCTCCATGACATGTCAAAGGTCGTTACCTTGAATATCGTCTTTAAAGGAGATCAAAGAGTCTTGTTCTGTCATCTGCTAGACATCTGACTTTCTATTTATTGTAATTCATTTCAATCTATTTCTATGTATTGATCACCTACACATTATAAAAGCAATTTATTTTGCGACTTCAAGATGATTAAATGGTGTCATAATACTGCTCTAATCACAATAGATATTAGAGTCTTACACATACTGTAATTCATTCAATTTAAGCCAATCCTTCATCATCCGTGATTATCAATAGACTGCATTATACTTATTATCGCCTTTATCTGCATTGTACATTGTGTTTACTAATTGGTTACATTGTTCACGTTAGTACTTTTATACACTATATACCTATTATCGTTTGTATCTTTGTGTTATTATCTATGTATAATGTATAAGAATTGTATTCACAAGTCATGCATTGCTTTTTATACTTTGATGTTTGTTTGTACTCTCATACCCCGGAGGGGGTTAAAGAGTCAATACAATTCTAAATTATAAATTCTCATGTAATATACAACAAAGTGATATTCAGCTCCAAGCAAACTAAACTGATAAACTTATTTTTTCTTAACTTACATTTATAATAGTCATCTGGGATGGCATATAAAACTTGAATTACTTACATCAATGTTATTCTTTTTGTATATTATGCGGTATTGAGGATCATTTTCCCAGACCCAAATTACGATTTTCGAATTGTCGTTCTAAGGCTCAACAGTCTTTGATATATACCTGATATCTATTTATGATCCAAAACCTTTAATAATAATAATAATCCTAATCATGACAGTTAATATCAAATTCTCTTCTGACTAATTTTCAATTTGTGTTGACTCTAGTTTCAAGGATATTTTTGTTATGTATACAAATTTGATTTGCGTAGTTACAACATAACTTATACAGGCTAGTGCCCTGTTTTGAATTTGTACTATTTTTATTCATAAGTTGGTGGCACATATTCAAGTTGTATTGATGTTATTTTTGTATTAACATACTCATTTTTTGTCTTTCTTGAATTGATTAGATTTTAATAACTTATTTATAACAAGAAACTTGTAAATTAAATCCTTTGATTGATATGAGGGCATACTATTTCTTTGAAATAAAATTCTAACCAAACGAAAAAACTGTCTTGAATATTTAATTGTTGATCTTTAAGAATGAAGTTGTGCTACGACCAATATTGAAGAGTGATTTTGAATAGAGGAAATGTAGCATGCAATGAGATGATACAAAACTAGGGGATAGAAAAAAAAAGCAATATGAGAGGGTCGATAGAGAAAGAAAAAGAAAGGGGAGAGGTAGGAAGAAAAGGGGAGATGGCGTGGAAAAAAGAGAGAGAGGGGTGGAGAGAGCGAGATAGAAAGAGAGAGAATGGGAGAGAGAGGGAAGAGTCTGGATAAAGACGAAAAGAGAAGGGGGGAGAGAGAAAAAAAAGAGAGAAAAGAGAAGGGATAGGGAGAGAGAGACAGACAGAGAAAAGATGTGGTATCATGAAATAGAGAGAAAGAATGAGATGAGCTCCGACGCTCTGGCGACAATTGTACATCACTATTTGTTATCCTTGTGCTGCATGTTTCTGTTTTTCACGTGCAATAAAAACATAAGTACAACAAAATTGTACTGAGCCTTTTTCTTCAAAGATAGGGTTACTTATGGCTAGGGTTGCTATTGCGTTTAGGGTTAGGGTTATTGTTAGGGTAATGCATGTGTAGTGTTTGGTCCAGCGTTGCATTTAATATGAAGAGGTCAGTGTTACGCGGAGCATCTGTCGTTCAACCGGATAGAGAGAGAAAGGGGGAGAGATAGACATACAGAGAGAGAGAGAGAGAGAGAATGGGTTGGAGGGAGAGATAGAGAGAGAGAGGTATCAATGTCTATCTTAAAATAAGAAGAGATGCAAGCTGAAATAAAAGAATATCATACAGATGTTGTATAGTGCCTGAGGATGTGACAATGTACCCAGATGTCGAATGTTACGTTTGTAATATACATTTTTACATTCGAAATCATTTGATTTGAATTATCATTTGATAAATACAGGCATAAATAAGAACGACGATGGTGATTAGAACATCCTTTAACAAAAGAGGATATTTCCAGAAAGATCGACTTTTTGTAACTTAATTTGAAGTCAATTTATTTAATTAAAGTTCATATTTCCATACTCATGGTTAGAAGACAAAATGATAATTATTGAAATAAAGTTAGTAATGAACATGAAAGTAATGATAACGATTTTGGTCTTGGAAATGTTATGCTGTATGTATGTATTGATTAATTTATTCATTTTATTTCAATTGGATAAAGTCTTTTTCCCGGCTATTTGAATAAGTTCATTACAAAAAATACACTCTGATTTCATCATGTGACATGAATATGATTACAGGAAACTCTTAATTTGCTACATGTAGACGAAATATCTACATGATAATTTAATAATTGATACTTTGTCGTTCATTTTCACCATCGAATGACGCCCATCATGAACATAACGTCAATTACTCCCCCCAAAAGTTCTGCATGTTTTGATTTTTAGATTTTTTTGTTGTTGATTTTTGTTGTTGGGGAATAGACATCTGATCTTATGTGGCTGTGAGAATGGAGATATATTGAAACACAAAATGCATTTACAAGGCCTTCATTTAACATATTAAAGTGGTCCGATATCGATATTGGAACGGAATAGATCAAAATAGTTTTATTTTCAGGGAATTGAACAAAAAACATCAAGGGCCTACAAAAACAACATCCAAAGTAATTGTTATATATGTTATACGAAATTGACTGCCAATACGCGAACTCGAATGCCCGAGTTCATCTTCCAACAATAATTGCCGGTGAGTTTGATTGATTCTTGGCTCACGCGCTAGACGGAATTCATTTGAATGATGAAAGTGTAAAACCCCATTCACAAGACTCTATATTGAATGACTGAAGTATAGTTTGAATGACAGTCTCCGCCAAAAATGACGTCTGTGCTAAATTGGACGAACCTTTGAGCGAACCTTTGTTAAAAAATATCGTAAATAAATTTAATTACACGTGACAGTTAATTGGAATATGGCAGACGATCTAAAAAAATAAATAGGAAAATTACCAAACAGATTAGTTTTCATTTGTTTTGGACCGGTGGAGTTTATAAACACATGTAAAATAAAACCACTGCCGAGCTGTCAAAAAGACAATTGATTGGCGGAATAGATATAATTATGGAAGGCAGAACCGTTGCCGCTGGAATTAAAGTCAAAGATAATAACATATTCATTCACAGTTTATAATATTAATAACATATACAAGATAATTTGAAAAACTTTAATCTTTATTTCCCCCCTTTTTGTTTAATCCCACTTATATCATCAGATTCAGCTGAGGGTAGAGACTTACACGTTTTACATGTTACCCCAAAACCCAAAATGTTCTTGTTGGCACATTATGATTACTATTTTACTCCCGACAATAACCAATTTGTCATAATAAATGCTTCAAAAAGAGTTTAATATTTTATTCTCAAATATCATCATTAAGTAAACCATGTATTTATATCATTTAAACTATCATTGGAAGTAATCACGTATTTTCACTGTTAATTTCCCTGCTTGATTGTACAACTGAGTGTCCCCCCCCCCCACCAAGGCTTTACTGTTCATTATGATAATTTCAAAATCATCATTTATCACTACTGTTATTATTATTATTTTTTTCATTTTTAGTATTATTGTTAATATTGTTTTATCATTATCATTAGTTGTTATGACAATAAATATTATTATTATTATTATACTTATTATTATTATTATTAATATCATAATATGTTTCATTTAGGTTGACATTTTTCCCTTACAAAAACCTTGGTTGCTATGTACAACAGTTAATTAGATGTATTCAATATCATTTCACCTTCAATGGTAGCTATTACGTATAACTGATCAGACAATGTCAAATTATAACAGTGTTGACGAAATCGGTGAAGCAATTACCGTGCCAATCAAGGGATTCTTGTGTTTGTAGAACATCCTAAATTATTCATTATGAATTTCAATAGCTGAATATGGTTATTATTTTGTATATCCTTCAGCTGTCATTAATTCATGATCAATCGGTGGTTTGAATTGTGAAATGACAGTTTAGCTGTTTACTAATGAAATACAAAACGACAGTTTAAATTAGTTGATAATGAAATAGGAGATTACAGTATAATTAACCAAAGGTAAATTGTTTTCATAAAAAAAGTTTGTCTCAATTTGCATGAATTGACCCGCCCTCATCACAAATTTAATTTTTTTAGATCCTATAAAAGGAGGTTAAATGATTTGTTTCATCATTCACTCATCATTCTTCGATACTTCATTAGATTCAAAGCATTTGAGTCAACGAACCTTCTAACATGGCTTCAGTAGTAAGTACAATTTTCCGTTACAGACCTAACGTATCTCGTTTCTGATATTAGCTTCATTATCAAAATCAAACTAGTATATCTCAATTCGAGAAGGGCATTTTACTTAAGAGATGGGATGTGACATAGTAATAAAACAATTTGTTATGTTTAGTTTTTGTTACAATGGTGTCATGGTATAGTTCATTCACTTAACTCTCAATCCTATGGTTAAGGGTTCGAATCCCAGCCAGATACTAACGTCCTCTGGTAAGACATTAATCCATATTTGCCACTCTCTACCCAGGGATAGTTGCTGGGGTAATAATGATTCCTCAGGACGAACAACATTGATGCTGATGAGGTTTCCTTGTGTAAACGGAGGTGTAAAATTATATATACAATCTGTCGGCAAACTTCGAAATTGTTTTGGAGGTTCTGATGTTTTCTTATTTTGCCTGTTTGCACGGATGAAATCTTCATGCAAGCAATACATTCTCTGTGGATTACATTGCACTTTTTTGTTTAATTCTATACCAATTTGTTGCAGTGATAAATACTCCCGGAATTTATCCGAGACAAACTATTGATTTTGACGCGGCTCTTTCTTTATTTCCAGGTAAAAACCCTGTCCCTTTGCCTGTGCCTAATTGCATTTGTTACACTGGAAATCAAAGGTAAGAACGCATCTTTATTATTTAAATTTTATCATGTTTAATTATGAGTTTAGAACGAAGATGACAAATAATACCACTTGGGTCTCTTCGGGTACATACGTCATTCATGGGGAACTGTGCAATGCATTTCACATGGAAATAATATATATCAAATAATGAATATCATGTTTATGATGGAATATGCAATGATTTTCAATGGTTATTAAAGATTCTGTCTCACAGTAAATATATTAGGGGACATCGAGTAGTTTTTGTAAAGCCTGTAATTGACTTTTAAATCATTTATTTGTGATATGAAGTCAAACGAATACATTTGTTATTGTTATTTATGTGCTCAATGATATTGTTCATAACGAATTTCATTGGTACGGCGATTCGAATATTATTTACATGATTGAGGGATGATTTCGCAGGAATTCTATGTGTTTTGTGACTATCCGTGTCATCTAAATTGAAAATTCTGTCGTTGTACGTGCATTAAAAATATAAAAACCTATTGATTCAAAAGAGGTTGCATTGGAGAACAGGCAAAATTCTGTTTTGCTTAAAATGACATTGTAATCGCTAAATTCACATTACTTTCTCCTAATTACAGCTCAAACCACCGATCGCACTTTGATTGATGAGATGATTTTGCAAGAAATTTATATTATTTGTGACTGTTCATTTCATCTAAATTGAATATTCCTTCGTTGTACGTGGATTCATAAAAAGATATATTGATTCAAAAGAGGGAGTATTGGAGAACAAGTTATAAACAAAATCTCATTGTGTTCTCTAAAATCGCATTACTTTCTCCTAATTATAGCCCAAACGACCGATCGCACTTCGGAGTTTCAAGCCCTCTGTGATAGATACAGAACAGTGATGAACGACTGTGAAGAAAAACTTCCCGGGCTAGTGACTGCTGATGAGCAAGCTTTGCTGAATTCAGCCGATAATAATCAGGTGTGTTTGGAAGAGGAAGGAGAAACGAACTTTGCCGATGCTTGTGAGATCTTGGAGAGCGTTTGCATCCGAGTTGTCTCGTGTCCTGCTTCAGGTAAGGAACATCACTGAAGTAACTATTTTTACTGGGGAGGGGGAGTGGTATACTTTCTTTATGAAATCGATTCATCTAGGAGCAATAATTGTCGCGGGGAAAAAATGTCGAAAACTTTTTGCTCATATGTCACTTCATCAAACAATCTGCCGGATTGATTGTGAGTCGTAAAATAGATTACAGTATCTCATAATTTATGTGTTTTTATCACCCCATACAGCTCGTTTTAGGCGTTCTTCCTCTGTCTCTGCCTCTGCTGAATCATCCGTTGAGTCTAGTGAAACAGACTAAGAAGGCCATCGCCAAATATCGTCTTTGAAGAAGATTAGAGATCATTCTTCTGCACCTAGTAGTTATCTGAAGTTTAATTTATTGTTATTCATTTTTATTTAATTTTACGTATTTATAATTAAACAATAATGTAGGCCTATTAATTCCGCCATTTTGAGATGATTAGATGCCTACATAATGTAATGCTCTCGGGACTGCCCTCATCAAAATAGATATTAAAGTTTCATAATAGTGTTTTTAATTTAATTCAAGCTAAGTCTTCATCATCCGTGATTGGTATATTAACATCTGTGTTGCTATAGCCTTCTTTGTTTACTCTTTAGCTTGTAAATAGACTGCATTATACTTATACATTCTATTATCAATTGTTACTATCTACATTGTATGTATATATTGTATTTACTAGTTGGTTACATTGTTCACGTTAGTACTTTCATCCCCTATATACCTATTATCGTTTGTACCTATGTGTCATTATCTATGTATAATGTATAAGAATTGTATGCATTGCTTTTTATACTTTAATGTTTGTTTGTACTCCCGTACCCCGAGAGGGGGTCAAAGAGTCAATAAAATTCTAAATTCTTAATTCTAATGTAATATAAAACAAAGTGATAAACAGCTCCTAGCAAACTAAAATGATAAACTTATTCTTCCTTATCTTACATTTATAATAGGCATCTATGATGGTATTTAAAACTTGAATTTACTTACATCAATATTTTTTTTTTGTGTAGATTATTTAGTATTTAGGATCATTTCATTTTCTCAGACCCAAATTAGGATTTTCGATTTAATCGTTCTATGGTTCACCAATCTTTGATATATATCTGGTATTTATTTATGATCTAATACTTTAATACTAATCGTAATCTATTACAGTTAATTTCAAATTCTTTTCTGGCTAATTTACAATCTGTGTTGACTTTAGTTTCTTCTTTATACAAATTAGATTTGCGTAGTTACAACATGCTTTATACAGAGTAGTGTCCTGTTCTGAATAGGTACTATTTGTATTATAAGTTGATGGCAGATATTATTGTTTTTTATTTTGATGACCATACTAATTTTGTTCTTTCTTGATTTGGTTTGATTTTAATAACTTGTTAATAACAGCAAACTGGTAAACTAAAGTATTTGACTAATATGAGGGCATACTAATTCTTGTTAAATAAAATTCTAACCAAAGGAAAGAACTGTCGTGAATATATACTTTTTGATCGTCAAGACTTTAGTTGTGCTACGATCAGGCCGATATGGCAGAATGATTTGGAAGAGAGGATTGAAGCATGCAATGAGATGGGACAAAACTAGAGAAAAGACAACGAAGCGATAGGAGAGGGTCGTTAATGAAAAAAAAGGAAAAGGAGAGAGGTAGGAACAGAAGGGGAGATGGTATGGACAATAGAGAGAGGGGGGAGGGTGAGAGCGAGATAGAAAGAGAGAGAACAGGAGAGAGGGGAGAGCTAGAAAAAGAAAAAGAGACAGAGAGAAAGTGTGTGTGTGTGTGTGAGAGAGAGAGAGAGAGAGAGAGAGAGAAGGAGAGAAAGAAGAGGTGGTATTATGAGAGAGAGAGAGAGAGAAATGATGAGGATGCGCTCCGACGCTCTGGCGACAATTGTATATCATTATTTGTTATCTTTGTGCTGCATGATTCTGTTTTTTGATGTCCAATAAAAACATGAGTACAACAAAACTGCCTTGACTTTTTTCTTCAAAGATAGGGTCACTTATGGCTAGGGTTGCTATTAGGTTTAGGGTTAGGGTTACGGTTAGGGTAAGGTGTAGTGTTTGGTCCAGCGTTGTATTTATGATGAGGTCAGTGTTACGCGGATCATCTGTCGTTCAACCAGATACAAAGAGAGAGAAAGACAAAAAGAGACAGAGAGACAGACATACATAGAGAGTGGGGAGAGACAAACATACAGAGGGAGATAAAAAAGAGAAATAGTGGGTGGGAGAGAGATAGAGATAGATAGAGAGAGAGAGAGATCTAAGAAGAGAGGCAAGCCATAATAAAACAATATTATACAGATGTTGTATGTTAACTGAGGATGTGACAATGTATGCAGAAATCGAATGTTACGTTTGTATTATAAATTTTTACATGGGAACCAAATCAGTTTTAATAATAAGTTGAAGAATAGAGAAGGCAGGGGCGGCAGTTTTCAGGCAAAAGCCTGAATTCAGGCCCTGGTGATTTATTTTCAGGCCATAGTTCGGGTGTTTTTTAGGGGGTACAAAAAAGCTCATTGTATGTTTTTCAGGCCTTCTGATCAATTCTAACTGGCATCCCTGTAAAGGCATAACTAAGCACAACGATGATGATTAGACAATCCTTTAAAATTTCTAGAAAGTTTGACTTGATGTTAAACCTAATTTTGAAGTCAATTTTCTTTATTTAAAGTCATATTTTTATACTCCCGGGTGGAAAGCAAAACGATAATTATTGAAATAAATTGATTATTAAAACATGAAAGTAATAATTACGATTTTGGTCCTGGAAATGTTATGCTGTATTTATGTATTGATTGATTTATTCATTTTATTTCTCTTGGATAAAGTCTTTTTTTATTATTATTTTAATAAGTTCATTACAAAAAACACACTCAGACATTATCAAGTGGCATAAACATGATAACAAGAAACTCATAAAATTTGCTACATGTATACACGACTGATACTTTGCCATGCACCCCGTGAAAAAAATCGAGAAAAATGTCCATCCTCGAATGACGCCCACCGTGAGCCCAACGTCAATTCTTACCAATTCATTTTGTTCAAAAATATCGTAAATAGATTTAATTGCACGTGACAGTTAATCGAAATATGGCGGACAATGTTGATAATAAACAAACTTGGAAAATCACCAAACGGATTAGTTGTCATTTGTTTTGGCACAGTAGATGTTAAAAACACCTGTAAAGTCAAAACACCGCCAAGCTGTCAAAGGGATCATTGGTTGGCAGAACAAATGTGAATATGGAAAGCAGAACCGTTGCCGCTGGATTTAAAGTCTAAGATAATAAGATATATATTCAGAGTTTATTGTATATATTAATAACACGAACAAGATGATTTAACCTTAACATACTTTTCAATCTTTTTTTCCTTTTTTTATAATCATTTCTATTTCCTTTCTTTAAATCCAACTTATTTCCTTAGCTATAGCTGAGGATACAGACTTACAGGTTTAACAGTAAACCCCCAAACCCCAAATGTTCTTACATTATGTACTATTTTACTCCCGACAATAACCAATTCATGATGATAAATGCTTCAAAAAGAGATAGTAGTTTTATTCTTAATTAATATCATTAAATAAACAATTTATTTGTATCCTTTAAACTGTCATTGGAATAATCACAAAAAATTACTCTTAATTCCCCTGCTGGACTATTGTTCCGATTGCATTTCATCAACGTACATGTAGTACGACCGACTGTCCGCCCCCCCAATTAAACCATATATTATCTTCATAATACATATCATAATTATCGTTGTTATTACTGTTATTATTATTAATATCATTTTAGTAATTTAGTTGATATTATTTTATCGATATCATTTTTTTTTTTTTTACTATAATCATCATATTACTATTTTTTTTCCTATTTATTTTATTATCAATATCATAATATGTTTCATTTAGTTGGATATTTGTTCATTACAAAAACATTGGTTGCTATGTACAACAATAAATTACATGTACTCTATATTACCTCACCTTCAATGGTAGCTATTACGTATAACTGATCAGACAATGTTATAATATAACAGTGTTGACGAAATCGGTGAAGCAATTACCGTGCCAATCAAGGGATTCTTGTGTTTGTAGAACATCCTTAATTATATATTATGAATTTCAATAGCTGGATATGGTTATTATTTTGTATATCCTTCAGCTGTCATTGCTTCATGATTAATCGGTGGTTTGAATTGTGAAATGACAGTTTAAATCTTGACTAATGAAATACAAAGTGACAGTTTAAATTAGTTGATACTGAAATAGGAGATTACAGTTTACTTAACCGAGGATAAATTGTTTTCATAAAAAAGTTTGTCTCAATTTGCATGAATTGACCTGCCCTCATCACAAATGTTATTGTTTAAAGATCCTATAAAAGGATGTTAAATAATTTGTTTCATCATTCACTTATCATTCTTCGATACTTCACTAGATTCAAAGCATTCGAGTCAACGAACCTTCTAACATGGCTTCAGTAGTAAGTACAATTTTCCGTCACAGACCTAACGTATCTCGTTTCTGATATTAGCTCCATTATCAATATCAAACTAGTATATCTCAATTCGAGAAGGGCATTTTACTTAAGAGATGGGATGTGACATAGTAATCAAACAATTTGTTATGTTTAGTTTTGTTACAATGGTGTCATGGTATAGTTCATTCACCTAACTCTTAATCCTATAGGGTTAAGGGTTCGAATCCCAACCCGGTAACTAACGTCCTCTGGTAAGACGTTAATTCACATTTGCCACTCTCTACCAAGGGATAGTTGTTCGGGTAATGATGATTACAGGCACCTCAGGACGAACAGCATTGATGCTGATGAGGTTTCTTTGTGTAAACGGAGGTGTAAATTATATATACAATCTGTCGGCAAACTTCGAAATTGTTTTGGAGGTTCTGATGTTTCCTTATTTTGCCTATTGGCACAGATGAAATCTTCATGCAAGCAATACATTCTCTGTGGATTACATTGAATTTTTTTGTTCAATGCTATACCACTTTGTTGCAGTGATAAATACTCCCGGAATGTATCCGAGACCAATCATTGATTTTGACGCGGCTCTTTCTTTATTTCCAGGTAAAAACCCTGTCCCTTTGCCTGTGCCTAATTGCATTTGTTACACTGGAAATTAAAGGTAAGAACGCATCTTTATTATTTTAATTTCATCATGTTTTGTTATGAGTTTAGAACGAAGATGACAAATAATACCACTTGGGTCTCTTCGGGTACATACGTCATTCATGGGGAACTGTGCAATGTATTTCACATGGAAATAATATATATCAATATAATGAATATCGTGTTAATGATGGAATATGCAATAATTTTCAATGGTTATTAACGATTCTGTCTCACATAAATATATCAGGGAACACCAAGTTTTTTTTGTAAAATCTGTAATTAACTATTAAATTATTTGTTGGTATACGATATAAAGTCAAACGAAT